AACAATTAATAATAAGAATTAGAAAGAATAAAAGCCTTCTTTTAAGTAATCCAAGCATAAATAAAAAGTATATTTGTTTAAATCAAGATTTTTTAGTTTGCAGAGTATGCCTAGATTTGCTGTTTTAAATTATTTTCTACACTATTCTCACTAATTATGTCTTGTAATAAAGATGCATATAATGATTCATTCGACATATTCAAAGATTCTAAAGGAAAAGAAAGATACAAATATCGTAAGTGCAAAAAAGATTAGGCCAAAAATGAAACAAGACTACATGAGCATTATAATTCTTGTATTTTGACAGAAAATGTAGAAAATAGAATTTCTTTTGGATTTAAACGTCAATATCAAGCCATGGTAGATAATTTTGTATATAAATTATCTAAAGCTGATCAAAAAAAATTAGAAAGTCTATTTGCACATGCTTTTATTCATTAGGAGCTTCCTTTAATATTTTAGAAAATGAGAATTGGCAAATTTTTTTCTTAAAAGCTTGTCCATCATTTAAACTTTCCTCACAAAAATCACTTTCTAATACATTACTTAATTAAGAATACAGTAATATTAATATTGTAGTTTAATACTTATTTAATCAAATGCAGTATTTTTCACTTATTACTGATGGTTGGTCCAATATTAATAATAACTCTATTATTAATTATATGATAGCAACACCAAAACCTATTTTTTACAAATCAATTACTACAAAAGAAGAGCAACACATGGCTAATAACATAGCATTAAATAATGAAACAATTATATTAGAAGTAGGAATTGATAAATTTGTTGTTGTAATTACCAATAATGCTCCTAATATGAAAGCAGCATGGAGAATTCTTAAGAATAAATATCCAACAAAAATCTTTTTAGGATGCTGGACCCACATAATTAATTTGTAGATTAAAGATATTTTAAAAATTAAATAGACAAAAACTATTTTAGAAAAATGTAAAGGAATTGTATCATATTTTAGATGCATCAAACTATTTTAGCTACTCTTTGATGTCTTCAAATAGAAAAATATGAACAACAAATTGCATTAGTTTCAATAATTAAAACACAATGGGGTTCTGCCTTTGAATTTATGAATCATCTTTATGAACAAAACTGGCAATAAAATCTATTTTAGCTGAAGATAATCTAAGAATCGATAGTTATATTCAAATTTTAATTATTAATGACAGTTTTTGGAAAGATCTTAAATATCTTCGTGACTTATTAAAGCCATTTTTAATGTTTATTCACCTTTTAGAGCAAGATAATCCTTTACTTTCAGTAGCGTATATCAAGTTACTTGATATAAGGCAGGTATACATAAGAATCAACAAGTTTCTAAAACTTTTTGTAAAGAAGTTTTGCAGTTAGGGCACAAACAATGAATTGATTTTTTGTTTAATCCAGCAATTTTAGTTGTATATAAATTAGATCCATGATATCGAGGTGAAAAACTTAATCTACAAAAATGGGATCATATTATAGAAAAAGAAATTATACAGCTAGCTGGATTAGAAAATGAAAATAAGGCTTTATCAGAATTTGCAGAATATATTGGTAAAACAGGTGAATTTGCAAGGCCTCATTTATAGGATGCTGTAAAAGAAAATCCTCAAAATTAGTGAAATTTAGTAAAAGCCAGATATCTGATTCATAGTTCTGTGCTTTTAAAGTTCTTTCTATTCTAGCAACCTCTGCTGCAAGTAAAAGAAACTGGTCATCATTTGGCTTTATTTACTCAAAACTGCATAATAGATTAAATAATAAGCGGGTAGAAAAAATTGTTTTTATTTATTGGAATCTTTGAATATTGCAAAGTTTAGATTGGCCATTATCAGTAAGTGATTTAAAAAAAACTAATGCTATTATTGAAAAAGAAATTAGCAACAATATGATAGATAATGAAGTCGATACTAGTGAAAATTTGATATTCGAAGATGGAAAATAGATGTTGAATGAAGATATGTCTTTTGAATATAATGAAGAGAATTTTGAAGAAGATGTTGAAGATTTTGAAAAATACACAGAAAGAGTTTTAAGAAAAATTTTGAAGAACAATTCAACGAAAAATATCATAAAGATTATAAAAATTCTGAGACATATTCTGAGGAGGATTTTGAAGAGTATTATGAAAGCAATTTTACAACCAACTTGAAAGATGATTATTAAGGTTTGTATTGCTATTAGTTTATTGTTGAATTTGTTATTACTACATTAAAAGCTTAACTAACTAATTAGCTTTTAGATTATTAAAATTTTATGAATTATAATAAGTTTTTATGCAGTCAATTATTACAATCTTCAAGATCACAAAAATTTTTTTTAAAAAATTTACCTTAATATATATGATGCACTTATAGTGCTTTATTGAGTATGTACATATGATAATCATTTTACTTATTATTTATATTTTTTAAGGAATTTTAAGGTTAATTGAAAACCCTTATTTAGAAAGATTGTGAATTTAAAAAAGTTTATTATTTTATAGTTGCTATCTTATGACTATGTATTTTTTTATTGTTATTATCTTTATATTCTTATCTTATGGTTATATATCATACATTTTATTATATCTAAAAATAACAAGTGCAATCATGTATTAAAAGAATTAAAGTTATTTGTGATTATGAAAGAGGTAACAGCTAAATGTTTATAAAGATACAAGAATTATTATAATATGAGTTTATTCTTTGTTAAATCATTATTGTTATACTTGAGATAGCTGCTGATTTGGAAGAATCTCAGAGCTATTATACATTACAATTAGTTATGATTGTTGACTATTACTTTTATCAGACTATATTATATCTATTTGATCGAATAATTATATGCGATATGATTAATCTAATATATGTAATAATAATAAATGCTACATATAACAAATATATAATATACTATCTAACAAAAATGTTAGTTATATGCATTTTGAGTACATAATCTTGATTTTACTTATTTTCCCTATCACTTCTGATTGGCTGTACTAATTATTCAATTGTTGGGTTATTTATATTATTTATTAATCAAAAAAAATATTTCATGTAAAAATTTGTGCTGTTGGTATTTTGCCTTTAGATTATGTTTAGAAGATTAAAATTTTACAAGAAAATTTTTTTATTAGTATGCAGAAGATAGTTTCATAGATCGATTTAGAGTTATAAGCGATTTAATATTTTTTATATTTTCTTTGCATTTCTTTTACATTACACCCAATCGTGAAACTTGATTGGTGCTGAGAAGTGAATTATTAGTACGACTAATCAAAAGTGATAGGAAAAATAAGTGCTCCTTGTAGTCTTGACATTTATGATGCAAAAATCATTATTAAATTAAAATTTATAATTTAAATATATTATTTTGTTTAATAACTTTAAAATTTTTTATTTTAAACTTGATTTTTATTAGCCAATCAGAATAAAAGTTTATTATGCTATATAATGGTTTTATAATTTAGACTAATTTTAGTATATACTATATATTTGTAACTTATATCAAGAACATGTAAGTTACAATGTAAGTTACAATGTAAGCTATATTGTCAGATAAGTTATCCCAACTCTAGTTTGAACTATATTTGTTAAACTAAATGTTTTTTGTAGAATGAGTTTGATTGTGATAACTTGTTTGTTGGTTGCAGTATATCAGTAACTAAGAAATTTTAGAGGTATATTAGATAGTTGTATTGTAATAGTTAAGTTTAAGAAAGTGAAAGTGGGTATATGTTTTGTATTAGATATTAGACTGGATTTTTGAGGATTTACTTTAATGTTTGCTATTTGGTAAAATGTAGATGCCACATTAATAATATTTTGTAATTGTTATTGAAATTCTGTTAACCATAATGTATTATCTATATATACTAATACAAAAGTATTTATATAAGTTGTTTGGTACTTTGCAGAAAATAAAGAAGTTGGATATGTAACTATTGATGTATATTCTTTGAATTTTTTGTAAATATAATTAATAAAAGAGTTATAATAGATTCATCATAGCAAAGGAGTTATAGTTTCTTCTTAATTAATGCTATTTTCTACTGGGTATGATGATGTTAATCTAAAATTTGTAATTATTTGATTAGAATGTAGTTTGAGCAAATTAGTTATTGTACAAATTATAGATTATAAGAGTTTAATACAATGCAGTGATTTTTCTAAAAGATTAACATTAACTAAATCATATACTTTGCTTATGTTCTGTGAAAATAGCTATATTGGTTTTTTATTGCTATTGGCATCTTCAATAAAGTTGTTTAGAATATGTAGAGGTGTATTGATGCTATTATCAAATAGTGTAATATAATTGTAAAAACTAAGAATTAGGTGTGATAATAGAATAGTAGAGAGTCAATTAATTAGGATTTTTGTATATAATTTTTTGGTATGTTCAATTAGACTAATGGGTCAAGTATTGTTGAGATTGTTATCAAAGTTAGGCTTTTTTAAGATAGGATATATTCTGCTATTTTTTCATTATTTAGGTATTATGTTAGTATTAAGATATTTGTTAAATAGTTGATATATAAAAAAATTCTTAAACAGATATCTTTTAAAAAATATATATAATTAAACTTATTTGATAAGATTACACCTGTTTTTGATCAAACCTATTTTGTATATATCATGCAATTTATAATAAAAACAAGTTTAAATACTTGCTAATAAATAGATATATATATATATATTATTTTTTTACTTTTGCTAAAGCCATTAGTTATTAGTAATTATTATCTTTATTGTAAATTTAATTATAATTATATAACTCGTACAAGATGACTTTTATATTACACTAACAGATAGCATATAAGTTTTTGTATACTAAAATGTTGTTTAACCTAATTCTGACTTTTCTATTTATATATTTATCAAGTTGTTACATATTTCAGAATATATTATCTAACTTTAGAACTCTAAGAAACCCATCTGTTAACTAATTATTTATATTTAATTTTTGTTAAAAGGCTTATTCTTGTAAAGTTCACTCAGATCCCAATACCAACTTCATAGCATATTTCTATTACTTAGTTATACCCTGCTTTAGTTTTCAAACTCTTAATTTAAATAGCTTGGAAGGACTATAACCTATTCCTAATATCTCAAGAATTTGCTCTTCAAGATTCTTTTTCTTTGGTTTGAAACTTCTGGCAGTCTAGTTAGTGATACCCTTTATCAAGGTTCTTATTCACTTAATTCTTTTTATATTAATATTTATTTTTTAAATTAGTTTTTATAATGATACTATTAAAATTTTGTACTATCTCTTTACTTAAGCTTTTTAAGTGAACTTCAGCTTTCCAGTTCTATAGATTACATAGTTACAAAAACTTATCTTAGATTTGTACTGCCTGATACTGGTTTGTATTTTTTTAGATAACTTTAATATTGTGTAGATATCCTATAATCTGTTAGTTATACTAATATAACCATAATCACAAATATTTTATCTCAACTGATTAACAGATTGTTATTGCTATAATACCACTTATCTTCTGTAATACTAATATTATATAAATAGTTTTTCAATCTACCACTTAGGAGGTTAAAAACTTATTTACTTCACTAAGTTATCATATCCTATATTTTTTTTAATTTAAACATTTCAGTGTAATTTAGAATTTTGATAGACTAAATATCAAATATTGAAATATTTCTACAAACTTAAAACAATTTCAGCTAATAATATTATATTTAGATACAATTTAAGAAATAAAAGTTTGTCATAATAAATAGTCAAAAGAATCTATTATAATAATAAAAAATATATATAGTAACTAACAAAAGTAATATCTAATTTGTAGATCATTACATATGAGCAAATAAAAGAGTTGTGTATATTTATTTTTTATAAATTTTAAAAAATTTTTTCTATTTTTTGTTTTCTTAACATTGAATAAACTAAGTATATGCAAAAGAATTTTTTAAAAATGCTATACAAACAAATAACAAAAAAAAAATAATAATTCTTACTTGTATTAATACAATAAATACTAAACAAGTTATTTACAAAATTAAATATAATCTAACAACAGTTTGAAAGTTTTTCTAAAAATACAAAGAGACCAAAAAAATTAAGAATTTATTTTAGTTTAGACATTCTTCCATCTTAAAGAAGAAAGAAAAATTGATATAATAAAAAAAGTATTAAAGAAAAGACATGTGTTATTATTTAAAGTTGTAAAAAATTTAAACTTTTAATACAGTGTACAGACTGTAATTAGAACATTGGACTTTATTTTTGTATCACTGTCTTAAAACCTTTTTTGTCAAATAGTAATATAGAGGACATATAAAATAATGTAATCAAAATAAAAATAAGAATATTTATTATTGAAGACATTATTTTTTTAGATAAAATAAGTATAGAAATAGATAAACAATTCTGTTAAATTTGTATATAACATTACATGAATAAGAGATACAAATATGAATATTTGTAATCAAATTTTAAAAATGAAAAGATCTCAGTAATAATTTGATCATGTTTTATTAATAATATCAAAGATCTCAGTAATGATTTGATCATGTTTTATTAATAATATCAAAGATCTCAATAATGATTTGATCATGTTTTATTAATAATATCAAAGATTTTATGATTTTTTTTGATGATTACAAAGGTTCCAAACAAAAAATTAATAAAAACATTTATATCATGGTGTTAAATAATCATCTTATATCATTTATAACTACAGTTCATTTGTTAAACATCTCCTATCCAATTTTTCAACACAACAATGCTCTGATTCATAAGGTGTTAGATTGATTAAATTCAAAAAACATTGATTATATGAATTGATCCTTATGATTCCTTGACTTTAATCTTATAGAAAATATTTGAAAAATCATAAAAGACAATATTCAGAATCATGATGACTTCCTAAGGAATAAATCTGACCTTAAAACAGCCTTACAGAAAACATGATCAAATTTGAATACATCAGTTATTCGTGTAATTGCAGACTCAATAACATGAAGAATTAACGCTATCGCAAGTGTAAGAGGTCACTTAGTAAAATATTAAATAAATATATAAAAAAATTTTGATGTATATGCGACCAAAATTAAATAAATAAAAATTTTATTTTTTGATCAAAAATTGGACGTTACTTTTGTTGGCTACTGTACCGTTGTACACTATCTAAGATTTTGTACCAATTTTATAATACGATTTTA